AAATTTTAAAAATTTATATGTAAGCTCAGTTTACAAAATAGCAAGAGATAACAAAAAAAAAAAAAAAAAAAAAAAAAAAAAAAAAAAAAAAAAAAAAAAAAAAAAAAAAAAAAAAAAAACAGAGAAAATGGCATAGAGTCAAAGCGTTCATTTTGATTTTATCCCTATTTGTCACATCAAGCAATGCGGGGAAAATCAATTATTTTCAAAATTGAAGGGAATCAAATAGCTCGGATTTCTCAGTGTTGAAGACGTTTATTTTAAACTGGAAGTGTATTTTCTTTTTCAATAGAGATTAGTCTGGATATGTCCTCTACTTATACCGGTTAGTGCTCTGTACATGAAATTAGTCACTTTGTTAACACAGATCCGAGAACTGTAAGGAAAGCGTCAAACTATTATAATTATCTTAAATGTGCTGAGTTCATGGCGTCGTCAGTAATAATGTGTACTCGTGCCAGAATAAGCTCTTTAGCTATCTCAATAGAAATAACAAAAGTATTATCAAGTTGTGAATTATTCTAATTGATTGTTACCACCTTTTATGCTATCTCTTTATTGTTAAAATCTCTTTTGGTCTCCTCCCACTTTGCCCCCCACTTTGCGTACGTCCATGTCTGCTCTGATCCATCTAACGCTTATCGAAAAGTAGTAGCCCGTCTTATTCCACTTATGTATTCTTCTAATTCTATCTACACGCATCACATATTCTAAGCACAATACGCGTACCCTCTAAAAACTACAATAACAACAACAAGAAAGCTTGCTAGTTAACTCGAATTTGGGAGAGCGTGCCGCGTCCGACGCATGCTGTCGGCATACAAAAAATTGCCGGTAGTTGGTCGCGCTGACAAAAGTTAAATAAATAAAAGAGCAAAATGCTAATACAAATAAACAGTAATAACAAAAAAATAAAGAGAAAAAGCGACGGAATAAAGAAATTAATGAATTGTTCGTTAAACACCAGCGCTTGATAGACCGCAAGAGCCAGCCGCCGACGATCAGTTTTCACTGAGCAATCGGTGTGAGAAGACGTTGTACAATAATTTAATCACTATAATTGATAGAGCGCTCTCAAGGACCCACAAATACAATCAGAAAAGCAGCCGCTAATAGTTGTAAGCAGTTAATATCATAAATTAATTCAGAGATTTGTGCTAATCAATTAAAATTCTTGATCGCGTCGGTTTGCATAACGGGTGCGTGTGTTATCTGATCGTGGAATATTAGAAAAAGAAACTGACGGAGCAGCCGCGCAATTTAAAACTTTGGAGATGAGTGTTGTACTCTTCCTAGTCGCGACTATAGTGGGTTATGTGCTCTACTCATTGATCCAGTCAATGAAGCGCCCACCAAATTTTCCACCAGGTAAGAAGAGACGAGTAAGGTTGTAAACAAATAGTTAAATGATCTCAAATTTCGCTCGGTATTTATAAATATAGGTGGCATATTTATGCGAACCTTGCGAAATGCGTTGATTCTATTGTGCAAGTAAACTAAATTCTCAGTAAGGCAATTATTTCCTAAAAGCTATAATTTACTAGCTGTTATAACAGTAAATTTGTATGTAAGGTTTATATTTAGTTTTCATGACATTTCCTTAATTCCACTTTATTTTAGCAAATTCGTTAAGTTTAGGTGTCAGCTTCTCTGATTTATCGTCCGTAAAACTGAAATGTTTCAAGACAGTGCTCAACCGCTGGATGTTGTTGTAGCGGCAGAATTCTGCGGAGTTGATGGTCCGGGTCCGTTCCAACTACGTAGACCCGACTGTCGTAGGAACGGTCAACCGTAAGATCCAAATTTATGGAACCGCACTTTCGGCAGGCAAAGCCAAGGTTGTGCCTTAAGGGAGAAGGCGGCATTAGAAGCTTCAAAAACTTAGTATTTGGAAGTTAGTATTTAAAGGAACTACAGCTGAACAGTGGCGGTTTAAATTGTTTATAAAAAAAAAATATTTAAAAAATTTAAGAAGCTCGTATTAAAATTTGAGACTAATCGGTTAAACCTTTTTCGAGTAATTTGGTCACCGACTTTGCACTCTGAAAAGTCTTTTCAAATTTGATTGCAATTTCAAAAATATTCACCTGAATGATATGAAATTTTCTGTGTATATTCTGAATTACATATGTGTACATAAAAAAATCGATTTTTGAGGTGTTCTTACCTTTTCTGGTTAAGAGTTAAGGCAAGATTAAGATATATCTGGTAATCGGAAGTAAACGAGGCAAAGATTTCTCAAAACTGTCTCATCTACACATGATATTGAATATATGTATATTCGAAATCTCCGTTGGAGCATTATACCAAATTTTGTTTAGAATTTCGTCAGTATACTTATACAAATACGTATGTACATAAGTCCTGGAGGTCGCTTATATCAATAGTCATGTGGGAATGGGGGAGACATTAATTTTAACATATTGTTCAGTAAATAAAAAAATTAAAGGTTCAATAAGACAGAGATTTTCGTAATGGGTCTTATGTATGGCTCAAATACACTTGGAATATTGCCACGAACTGCCGGTAAAGGAGCAATATTGGAAATGTTCAAGACACGGTTCGGACCAAGAAATGGTGCGTATCTGCGTATTTACTTATATCGACTACAGCTATACAACTAAATAATTGAATTAAAATGGTCTGATATTTAATTTAATTAAATATGGTATGCAGTGTGTTTCATCTTAGTAAATATACAAATGGGGTCGCCAGAAAACAATGCATCCAACAAAGTGTGAATTCTCATTTTATTATTTGTTTTGTAGGCACGTGTCTCACTTGAAAATTCGAAATGAAAGGAAACAACTAGAAACTGAGTAATTTACTCGAAATGAACTACTTTTTATTATAGTAATTATTTGAGCGTCTTTTCAATACGATTTTGTACAGTTCGTGTCAAAGCTCACCAATCGGTGCGCCTACACTTTCTTCATTCAAAAACATAGATTTTTAGAACAAGTGGTACTCTTTCAAAGTTAATTAAAAAAGTATGGTTAAGTTCACTCTATTTGAAAAGGCAGAAAATTGTTCCATTTCTTTTCGGGAGAGCATTTGACAGAAATAACATTCATTCGTGAAGGCATAAACGAGACAAGACTAAGATTTTGTTTATAATTACTATGGAAGCAGCTTGACATTTTGTTTCGTCTATGACGTAGTGGCATCGAATCATGTACTTTATCAACAGATAAAACATCAATGATAGATCTGTAGAATACCATATGGTTGAGCGAGAGAACCAATTTTGTATGATGTTCGATTGGACGGCTAACAGAGCCGAAAAACCTCAACGTGGGATTTCACCATATTCGCTATTCAGCACAAATAAGTAAAAGAAGACTGTTTACAAACAGGGGAGCCTCCATGAAACGAGAAAAATGGAAGAAGTTTAGTAGAAAATAAATTGTGTTCTCTGCGTTAGCATAGTCGATTAGTCTTCCTGTTTTAACAACATCCGTCGAGACAGCTAATTCTCGACCTTTTCTTGAGTATCTGATGAAAAACTTTTTCGACTACCGATGCTGGCCGAGCTAAAAAGTTCAACTAGTTCGTTATTTCTGAGCATCACTTTCTTGTCAGTTAACGTTCGTCCTCTGAAAAAAACTACCGTAATAATTCTTATCATGGACACAGGCACACTTAGGGGAGGAGGGAAGGTCAGCCTTGTACCAATGTAACGGTTTTTTTTGTAAACACTTCAAATTCTTTTGTGATAAAGCAATAATGCATTTGCTACACATTCGAAATATTTAAACGCAACAAATTAACTGTTTTAATTTATTTTGAACGGTAGTCACCTGATTTTATTTCTTTATTTGACACATACATATATGTACATATGTATATGTTAATATATGTATATACGGATGTGCACAAACCAATAATAATGTTTGGAAAGAAAAATCACAAAATTTTTTGAACAGGTTCGTGCGTCAATAAACTGCAGTTAATCGTGTAAATATGTATGGATATTTGCAAAGCCAGTTAACTGTGTTACATCCCACTATTCTTCGCAATCAAACTAAGAGCAAAAAATCCAATCACAAATTACTTACGCGTGCAACCAATAATTTTTTCGGTTATCCTTTGAAAAAGAAAAAACGGGAAAACCCATTCGAAGAACATTAATGGCCTCGTGACACATATTAAGCCACGGCGTTTATAAATTGCGACTTCCTCTTTATTTATCTGGAATTTGAAACACACATTCTTACCTTTGTAATGGCACGCAATTACAATAAAAATAAATAAATGCTTTGTTGCTTTAATTGCTAAATAAACTGATGTTTAGAAACCCACTAGGCATATTTAATTTGGATTCGAATCACACTTGCTACGACACGAAACGCCAAAAGCTGTCAGTCATCATCAACCAGAGGGCCGTCTGAGGACGTGCGACCATTTGCGGTGACGGTTTGTTGCGGCTGCCAGGTGTCGATTTAACTAAAATCTATGTAGATACGTGCATTTACATACTTTTATTTATGTAAAGGCGCTCCAATAGATTTCCACTCGATTGGGATATGACAACTTACAGGGTTCCATTGCTGATTTATATAAATTATAAATACGTCTGTTCAGAGAGCTTTAAGATGATTATATTATTGTTATTTTTGTATAATTTAAACTTATTGAAATCATAAATCACATTCCGGTAATTTGTTGAGTACATGTTCAGCTGTTTTGTTGGATAATTTCATGGAAGAGGACCTTCTCAAAACATCGAGTGAAGCTGGTTTTTATAGAGGAATTTCGCTTGGCTTGTTGAAGAAATGGCAGCGATGCAAAGGTTTTATTTTGATGTTGTTGCTGTAACGGTTATCTAGTCCACGTTAGGGTGGTAAGGTTGAGATAAGTTGTCATCGAGGTCATCCAACGGTAGGACCAGGAAAAGTGCAGGTAGATAAGGGGGTGTCAGATGTGTAGGGTCAGCTAGGCATGCAATAAGGTGATCAGAGTCATGCCGGAATTCGCTGCATGCTGGACATATGTTCGATATGTCGGGGTTGATTCTGGATAAGTAGGTGTTAAACCTGCAAGAGAACGAAGCTGCGCAAGCTAACTCGATTATTGCGGCAAATCGAGCTCTTCGTCTGCAATAGGTGGTGGTTTGGTTTGATAGAATTCGTACGACAGCCGGTTCTACGCTGCCGGTATCAACATGGATTTTATTTGGCCAAGGGCTGTTTTTTCGGAGGTGTAACCATGTTTATATCGGTAAGTTTTAGATTAAGGTATATTTGGATAACTCCCTTTGGCATAATAGATTTTTTCATCGCACTTCGTCGAGAATAATCTCATTAGAGTCAAGATCTATTCGTATGGAAGAATCTCGAAAAATTACATGATCCAGCTGGGTTTTAATTCTTTTCCCCAAGGTGAAAGTCCATGTTTTGTTGGTAAATCGATACAATGTTGAATATTACTGGTTTCAAGCTACCAGGACTCTTTCGACGTCTATATAAATCTAAGGAATGCTTAACATGCTAGTCGTTGCATCTGCTCGAAAGCCTGAACTTTTTAAACACCAAAGGCTGCCATCACATCATACGCGCCATCAACCTACTGGACGACAGTGAAGATACTCGCCGACGGAACAAGGCTACATCCTTAGGCTTACCATTTAGATATTAAGATTAACTTAGTTCACTATGTTGTAAAGTATATACATACTAATGCTAATGATATATGCAAGTAGCACAAATCTTATACTTCATATGCCTTTAATGTATTTAATGGTCAAATTGCATTTTTGGCATCAATGCGAATCTTTAGATATAATTACATCTGCTTGTCGTCACAAGGTAGATTGTAAATAATATGAAAATCTTGAGTATTTGTACTTCCTATTTCATTTTAGTCTAAATATTATTTTCGATGTCTTTCTAAAGTGAAAGAAATGGAAATTACCCGATCGTAAAAGATTTGGTTTCTTCGAATAATTCCTTGCCCACAAGTTTTAAATCGGTCTCTTTAGAGACGACAATGCTCATTTCTTAAACAATACTAGCCAATAGAGCTTGCTTTTTTTTTGTTATTTGTTTTCGATTATACATATTCGTATAGAATACACGATCGAATTGCTGACACAGTTACTTATTTTCATCTAATCACAGTAGTCCAATACCATAGTTCGATAGCGTGTTACTATGAACTGAAATCGAGCGAGAGCTATAAATTAATTAAACAAGAAAATATACGTAATTATCGAACATATCAAAACGCTGGGATATAACAGCTACTGATATGGTGTTTTGGTACACCAAACTTCTGTTAGCTAGTTTTGGACGATAGATTTATTGTTGGGCTATCTACCAGAAACTTATTTTCTTCTTTTTAGAGAAGCCAAGAACTTGAAAATAGTTTTATGCAGGGCGCGTAAATAACTGCTGTCACCGATTCAAATTTCTCTGCTTGTTACGTTTGAACTCTGTTGGAATTTGATAAGGATACGATGACTGTTTTTTGTAAATTCAAAATTTTCTTGTAGAATTTATTTTTAGTTAATAAATCAAACACTTCGAGCTGAAATTTTAATTCGTCGAAGCTTCGGCTTGGCGAACATCATAAAAAATATTAATTGCTGATGTAGCGGATCTCCAAAGTCGCTACCCACCTTATCGACTAAATGAAAGACTTCTTTTTGGTCTTCCTACCATATACACATTTAGTTACTACTCACTTTCATTTAATAATCTCATGTTTTCTCTTGTAAAATTAAAGGTCCCGACTTTATACCATGGATGGGCAACACCATACAACTGCGCAAAGAGGCACGTGCCAGCGGTGGCCAACATTTGGTCTTTGAGAAGTGGTCCAAAAAATACAACAGTGATATTTTAGGTCTCAAATTGGGCAGCGAATACGTCGTGGTTGCACTTTCGTTTCCATTGGTGCACGAAGTGCACATAAGCGAAGTATTCGATGGACGTCCCGATAATTTCTTTCTACGCCTGCGCACAATGGGTACGCGCAAAGGCATCACCTGCACCGACGGCCAACTGTGGCAGGAGCATCGTAGTTTCGCTATGCGACAGATGCGACATGTCGGCTACGGACGCACAGAGATGGAGCAATACATCGAAAGAGAAGCCGACAGCTTGCTGACATATATCCATGAGCTGCACGGCGAGCCCACCTGGCCGGGTTCGTTTCTGGCGCCGAGCGTCCTTAACGTTCTGTGGACCTTAACGGCCGGTAAGGGTATCGGACGTGGCGATAAGCGTTTGCAAAAACTGCTGCAATTACTGAATCGACGCTCGAAGGTTTTCGACATCTGTGGTGGCGTATTGTCGCAAATGCCTTGGTTGCGTTATTTTGCGCCCAACTGGACTGGCTATAACCTGATCTGCCAAATGAATCAAGAGATGCATGCATTCTTCCTGGAAGCGATTAACGAACATCGCGCTAGCATTACGAAAGAGAATGCCGAAAGTGATCTGATCTATGCGTACATACGCGAGATGAATGAACATAGTGATGAAGCGGAGAACAGTACCTTTAGTGAAACCCAATTGACAATGACAATCTTGGACTTCTTCATTGCCGGCTCACAAACCACCAGCAATACCACCGATTTGGCGCTAATGATGCTCGCTCTTAACCGTGATGTGCAAAAGCGTGTTTATGACGAAATCACCGATAATATGGAGACACATAAAATTCCCGTTAATCTTTGTAATCGCGAATACTTTCCATATACGAGCGCCTTCATTATGGAAGTGCAACGTTATTTCCACATAACACCAGTGACCGGCCCGCGACGTGCCTTACGCAACACTACACTCGGCGGTTATAATGTGCCTAAAGATACAACCGTGCTGATTGGTCTGCGTGTGGTACATATGGACAAGGCGCATTGGGGTGATCCGGAAGTCTTTCGGCCAGAACGTTTCCTCGATGCTGATGGCAAGGTTTTCCGCGATGAGTACTTTATGCCATTCGGTCAAGGGCGTCGTCGTTGCCTGGGCGATGCTCTAGCTCGTGCCTGTCTGTTCTCGTTCCTCACCAAAATCGTCCATCGTTTCCGTATCGAGTTGTGTGAAGAGGCTTTGCCATCTGTGGTGTTACAACCGGGCATTACGCTGACGCCAAAGCCATACAAAGTAAAATTTGTAAATCGACAGTGAACTTCGATGGCTAATCGACAAGTGGATCATGACATTACCGAATTTCGAAAGGATGTTAAATTTTTGTTTGTTCTGAAGCACTCAGAAAATGAATGGGAATTTTTTGATCGTCATTTTCAATATAAGACTATATGTATACTTACCATTGTAGAATATTTTATGTAATCTTTATTTATATGGAAATATAAAGTTTAGTAAAGAACTCAATGTTGTATTTGTATGATTGTGAATGTTTTCTGCAAACTTCAGCTTTAACTCAATAGAACGGGGGAAACCAAATATCGATTTTTAGAGTTGGTCGATCATCATGACTGATGAAATTCACAAATCCTACATAAGAACAACATTGCATTACCGATTTTCTTACCGGACCCGCGAACGAACTAAAGGGGGCTGTCACCCCGGGCGCAACGTTTTGAGGGCGGCAAAACGATCTCCGCTGTTTTTTAATATTTAGAAAAATACTTCAACAAATTTTTTACAAAATTTATTATAAAAGATAAAGGCCGGAGTAAGCGATATAATCATGCTGCATCGTTTACCTTGCTCGCTTACCAATATCTACCATATCCCGCAGGAAACAAATATTTTTATTTCTCCAAAATTTCAAGAATGGTATTTAAAAACTCCGATTCCGGCAAAAATTCCTGCAAATTGTGTCAAAAGTGTACAAGATATAGGGTGAGAATGGGTTTTTTCTATGGCTTTTAATAAGATATCTTGTATATTTACTATCAATTTCCTCAAAAACCATATTGTGAGATTTTTGGAACTTCAGAATTTGGCTGGCTTCTATTTCCTAAATTTATATAAGTACTTAATATCGAAGATATTTTGTAAAAATTCACTTCTGTTCGAACCACCTCATGGAACTTGTAGGTAGGTAGATAAAGGGAGCCGGCAGAACTTTTATGGCCCCGGCGCCCGAAGTTTTAGCTATGCCACTGCGACCATAGGGGAACTTATACACACAGTATTCTAAATAAAGACAAATGCAATATTTTGCTAGTTACCATATTCACCTGCCTTTTATACTAGCGATATGTAAAATTTTTTATAACAATAAGAAGTTTTAGTTCAAGCGCTGTCGAATATTGGATGCTCTCGGAAATTAAAGGCAGGGATATATTTACAGGTTTTCATGAATTGGAACGATCATTTGGGTCTAAGAAAAGTGAAAGCACGATTGGAAAAGCAGTGTCTTTAACGCCTGTGAACAATGCATTCCGACTACCAGGATATCGTGAAAAGTATTATAGCATGGCGTTGAGTCTTGGATCTATGCTTACGATCCGAAAACAAACGAACAATCTGGCGAATATCGGTTCAGAGGTCAGCCGATGCCGAAAAAACCACGTCAAAGCAAATCAGGTTCTTCGATTATCGAGATGTAGTGCACTCCGAATTCCTTCCAATCAGCCAAACTGTCTAAAGGAATACTATTTGAGTATGCGTCGTTTGCACGAAGCTATTCGTAAAAAGAGGACAGAATTATGGGCTGACAGTTCTTGGTTTTTGCACAACGATAATGCACCGTCGCATACTGCATTGATTCTTTTTGAGGTTTATGCCAAATTTTCAAACAATATCGTGCCGCAACCACCATATTCGCCTGACTTAGTTCCGTGTGACTTCTGGCTATTCAGCAAACACACTCGACCGCTCCGAGGAAACCTCCTAATTTTATTGAGATAATGAACGAGTTATATAAATTGTCAAATTATTGTTGTAATATATTATTATTTGATAGATCAAAACCAACGTCCTCAGAGTACTATGTTTATACAAGTACGCACATAGGAGTATCTACCCTCAAAAACCGGACAAAATTGAAAATTACAAACTTCAGCGATGGTACTCAATAAAATTTTTTTTTGGTAACTAAATAACCGTTCTACAATGAACAGATTAAATGAATGACCTTCAGGTCGCTATATTGCCACACAAGTAGTCCTAGAGTTCGTTCAGAACGCACGTGCTTATTCGCGAAACACTCTATTGTTCTCGAAATTGCAAGTGGTTTTTTTTATTGTTTGAACGGTATTCCTGAAACATTTTTTTTATGGATTCAGCACAACATGGTATGTATTTAATATTAATGATATAAAAATTAATTTAGTTAATGTATTATTATGTTTTTTAGGAAAAGCAATGAATCAATAAAAAAACGAAATTTGTTTTTAAATTTTTTGAAATTAGTGTTTTTGTTATATGTCGGGCGAGGTCGAACTATAAATTATTTTTCCTAGTAAACTACAGGATTTCTATTTAACATTTAAGCTTAAACATTTCCCCCCTTTAATTAATACAATATAACTGAATAAAATTTTGCGGTAATAATTCCCTTAAAGTAAGCTACCTTTTGACCAATAATTGCCTAAATCCAACCAAACCGTACCGAATATGTGAACCCGATACCAATAGTTGACTTTTGACCGAAAATATCGTTCAATGTGTGAGATATGAATGAAAATCCTTTTCTGACAATAGTATTTCATTATGTCAAAAATGGGTTGAATCGGGTCAATACTTTCCTGAGCCCCCATATACCTAACATAAAGTTGTTAGAACTTCTAGGTCACTTTATGTTGGATATATTCGCCAATATATGAGTCAAGTCTCAATGAAAATTACAGAAAATTATTCATAATAGTGTATCTTTGCGCCTAAAATAGATACAATTGCGCGAAAACTTGATCCCTCCAACACAACCCCCCCACCTATATAACAATAACCAAGATTTTCTGACATCCACTTGACCTTGTTCCATATGATTGCTGATTGTATGTAAGGTACCTAAATGAAACAGAGGGTACATTTTTTTGAGTATGTGGCATATTAGTAGTTTGTGGGATGAGCAAAAATATATAAAATCTCAGCGGCACTACCCCCTTCCCAAATATATTCAATATAAAATGTTCGGTTGCACCCGAACTTAGTCCTCCTTTAATCACTTTAAATAATTGTATCCGGTTTTTGAGACCAAATGCTCCTATGTGAGACGGTTGGACTTACAACCATCCAGAAATGAATTTGTCTCGTCATCGTGATCACTTATATATATACAAACATAACTATATAGTTAAATACATAACAACATAACAACAGGTGTTGCAAATAACAGTGAGCGCGACAGACTGCAAGCGACATCTGCCAAACATTAAAATAAATCGTACACACGTTCTTATGGACACAGTTACTTTGACAGCTGCACGACTACACGACTGCAGGCCCCCAGTTGTCGCTATCGCTAACTTCAATATACTTTTTATATTTGCCAACGACAGTAGAGAGATGAGGTAGAGTGGTGATGCCCCTAATATGTAAAATGTCAAATTATTCAAAGCTCTAACAAACCTGACGTTATTTTTACAAATAAAAGCATAAAATAGCTCTATTATAATAATAATAATTAATAATTTAAAACAAATAATAATTTAAAACCAATAAATTTGCCTATTTACTTATTTTTTGCATAAAAAATTTCCCTTTGAACAAAATATCGAAATTTCATTCAAGTGCAAGGTATTAGTATGGCCACAACGAAATTGTGTACGTGCAAAATGGACAGCTGTGTTGTCTTGTGTACATGCCTGTCATTGTTATGTCGCTGCCTTCTCACAAATGTTCATTTAGATTCACAACGCCATTTTCAGTTCACTGTCGTGCTGCCATGTCGTATAGCGCTCATTGTGTTCAGCACATCACACCTTGCATAAGATTTACAACATTCCATTGCAAGCCTCTGTCAGTATATGTATGTATATGGTATAATATAATTGCCTATGAAGCGAATCAGAAAGTGCTTTTTAATGGAATTTCAACTTAAATGCACAGGGTGGTGATGCCGCTTAAAATAAAAAAGGACTAATCTTAAGAAGCTCAACCACTAAGACGGCCGGAAATACTATTTACAACGACAGTTGCAGTGGCTTCGAAAACGAAGGACCAGCTCGAATAATTTAGACTCAACTCTAGTTCGGTTGAGGCTAAATTAAGTTCCTCTCAGTTTGATTTCAGTGTCTGTTACAATTGTAGGTACATATTCCCTACAATTACTAAGTCTTAACGAGTTCTGTCTTGTCGCGGGTATAAGGGTTTCAACTGTTAAAAAGTTTGTCAATTGTTAAAATTGTCTTAAGAAAGGTGAGGTAGAAATATATCGACACTTTCAGGTCGACTGTCAAAAGGTTATGCGCGCACCGCGGTTGATTAACGGAAATTTCAAAGTACTTCGTCCATACAAGCTGGTTTTTGGTCCATATTCAGGAGGTTTTGGCATTACAAAGCGTCGGTGAAAACCGCTTATACTTCCCTGCGGGGACCAACCTCGTGTGTAAACCTCACGTTGGTCTAAATTTTGATGCTTCAAGGCATCCAAATCACCTGAAGCAGAAACTTTTGAGCATAAAGCCTGAAGAGCTTAAGCTCAGCTGATGGATTATAGATGCAGCTAATTTGTTGCTAATAGTACAACAATAAAAACAAATATTAACTACAAAAACAATGACATGCGAGTTTAAATGAGTCAGGAGTGTAATAGAAGTTTATTACAAAATGTTTTAATATTTTTTTGTTGCTTTTGTTTGAAACACATCTCTGAGATGAAAATGATAATTGTAATTGTAGTAATAATAATAATAACAGCAGAATTAATTAGTAGTTATATTTAAAAACTAACTGTGTGTGTGTGAATGAACGTTTTGTTTTTCATTTTCTTCTTTTTGTATTTTTCATTTCATTTGCTTTGTTTTGCTTGTAAGTATTTTATAACAATTAAAACTTAAACGTTTAAAGATTTTTTCTTTTGCTTATATTTAAAATCACTTTTTCAACAGGTTCACATTTTCCATTTCGTTACACGGTGTTCAACAATGCCTATTTTGTAGTTGTTTTTGTTTTTGTTTTTGTTTTTTTACTTTAAATTTAATAAACTATATTATATTATTCATTATTTTAATATATATGCATTTACAATATATTTTTGTTTGTTTTTGCTATTTTCAATATAATTTCTCTGCTCTTTGTTTTTTTTTTTTGTTATTTAATATACACATGTGTACTGTATACATACATACTTATTGTTTTTGTTCTAGTTTTTTTTTTTTGTAATTTTTACTTAGCCCCTTACTGTTATT